CATTGGAACTCCCTACCGGAACACGTCGTATCAGCGCCATCCGTTGATTCATTCAAGGCGAGATTGGACCTACTGTATGCAATAAATCGAAAGGATTAACACAGGCATATAGCCTACTATCCTAAATAAATTGTAAACTGTAAACTGTAAACTATATTGAATCTCACCCCTAGATTAGAGCAGTCTGAGGGTAAAACACAATCATTGATGACGAATAGGCCTCAGAGAGGTGGATATCGAGAAGGCTCCATGATGTCTAGTAATGCATATAGACCTAGTGAGTGTAACAGGTTTCGTAGTACACCCTCAATAGATAAGTTACAAGATGCAAGACAAACACGGTTGTGTTTCACACGTGTGCAAGAGGTGCATAAAAAGGTGAACTGTGAACCAGTGAGGAAGTTCAGTGATAAGCTAAATGTGAAATCCGGGTCTGACTCCGAATTGTGTGACGATAACGGTGCGGTGAAGAAGTCTGTAGTTGCAACTGGTAAGCCGTTGTTGAATAGAACGCAACAGAATAGAGTTACTGCTTCAGAGTGCAGTTCTGACTCCACAAGTTTACAAGGTATTACTAGTCAGAGTGAAGTTATAAAACCTTTAAAGAATCGTGAGGAGGAACCAACATTGTCTACTTCTGTTATTAAAGAGTTTGAAAATGATGAAGTCGACCAGATAGATTATGGTAAATTGAACATTTGTGATAATTGTCATGATAGTGCAGATTTGTCTTCGGTTGATCATGATGAAATGAGGGGAATGTCTACTACTGCTGAGTTGAACCATGGTTCTTTACACCTAGAACGTGAAGTAGAAATAAATGCAGATTCAGTTGCAGAAGGCACGCATACTTGTGAGACTGTCAGTGTGATTGATCAGCATGTAGCCCACCTATCATCAGATGCCAGTGCTAAGCCTGAGCTGATAGTAAATGACAACAGTGGTGGTAATCTTGCAGTTGGACAATTATCTGAAAGCCGAGCACCAACAGCTTTTGATCCACCGCTAAGTTCATCAACTGGTATCAATCAATCGTCGTTGGTGTTGTCATCCACAATGAAAAAGACGCCCGTCAGCTCAAGTGTCTTGCACAATGACTATGATAGTATTGGTGCATTTGAAAGGACGAAAGATATTGCTCAGTTTCTTGAGGATAAGCCAAGTGTAAGCAAGAGAGTAATTGTTAAATTGGCTTGCACGAATAAGGGCATTTCTAGTTTCAGGTTACCAATTGAATTCTATTATCATTGGTGTAAATTACTCTGTGCCTATGCTTGGTTGACCAGATACGTCGTGTGTTTTTTCGTCATCTATATTTTACGATACAATGACATGAGCGTGTTACCGTTCAGATTTGAGGATATAGATGATAGAGGGAAGTCAGCAAATGAACTCTGCGACGATTTTCCTACCTGGGGCGTCAACCTGAGAAGAGTTGTGGGCGTACTGCTGTAAGTCCTACAATTCTTCATAGGGTAGCGCATCAATGAGCAGTCCAATGTGCTTGGTGTGTGATTTTGTACACATGTTCATGTTGTATATACTGAATTTGTATCATCTTTCATCTAGCTGTTGGTAATTCTGTTTGTGTCCGAACGACTTCCACATGGATCATCAACCTGAGTAGGAATGTAGGCGTACTACTCTAAGTCCTACAGTTCCTCAAGGGTACTTCGTCAAGGCAGAATCCACAACATTTGATGTGTTGATTGTACATATGTTTGTGTTAAATAATTGTGTGAGTTCCAATTGATGTAACTGTTGGTTAATCTTGTTTGTGTCCGGACATTCCACAACTTACAATCGTCAACCCGTGAAGGGTTGCAGGCGTACTGGTGTAAGTCCTGCGATTCTTCAAGGGAATTGCACCAAAACATGATCCGCGAGGTTATTTGTACTGTTTGTATATACGTGTGGTGTGTCATATCAATTGGTGTATTTTGGATTCATTGTGTTTACTCGTTGTTTTCGTACCTTGTTGTTATTGCGCAATTTTGTTAAAATTTTCGTCGTGATTACTTCTGAAGTTGTTTCGAGTCTTCTACATCCGTGAATCAATTGATTGATTTTAAAGACAGCAGATGGGGTGTATACGCCGGGGAGGCTGGTGCTGATAATGACACGCACACGGAGATAACGATTAGCTGTGGTCCCACACGCCGGGGAGAAAGAGTGTAGACGACTGAGGCTCGCATGCGTCACCGCTATTAGAACTGAGGCAGAATGAGTGACCAGCGATTGCAGTGGTAATTGGTAGTGAGTAGATAAGAGGATGTGCGACGAGTATCATGAGGTACTGCTATGGTCACGTTGCATTCTGCAAGAGTCATTCTAGTAAGTGGCGATTGTGTTGCAAGATGTCAAGAGGAGGCCTTTATCTGTAGGCGCAGGTCGTCATCGATGTGTGAGATTGTGCTGTGAGTATGCTTGTGGTGTGTTGGCTTTCTGTTTGTTTTCCATTTCAGCCCTGTCCGTGTGACCCAGGTCCTCGCGATGGCATCCAAGTCAACGTGTATTCGTCGTGATGGAAAAAAGCGATGGATCCCTTTTTTTGCCGGGGAATGTCAATGTAGTTGAAGATTGAACGATCGATTCATGGTTGTTTGCTCAAAACCAACTTCCCCAATTTTCGCGGAGGCATCAATACACCAGTCATCGTGTCATCGGTCGCTGTTCAGAAAGAAGTCAGGACAATACCGTCAGAAACCTTAGTTTTGAAGCTTATCTTAAAGTTGGCTATATGTTGAAGTTACAATAAAGAATTCTGGAGTCGCCAATCGGTGTTTTGGTTTTGCGTCCGTTATTACTAAGCGTTTCTGAGAAACTTCAAGGAACAGCGTGAGTCCCAGCGTAGCAAGAGCTGGGCATTGACGGTTTACGAGGCTTGGCTGAGAATCCCAATATTTTCTTTTTACAAGTGGACTGATTTTTCTTCATTACTGTACGGCATAATCTTTTTATTAGAAAGCCTCTCCCAATATGTAATTTTACTTAGCATTTCTTAGATGACGTCATATACTCCGTACCTCACATCTTACGCAAATGCTGGAAATCAGTCTTATCTGATAGAGTATACAAACGAATAATGAGTAATACATTTTTTAATGAATAAACATGTAATACAAAATCAAGGACACTTCAGATATCGTTTTCTTTATCACCCAAATCCATGAAATTCCCGAAAGTAGATATTATCTGAAAAAGAACATAAGAATTATGGAGATGTAGACATTGTCACCGCTGTAAATCCAGCAATTAACTACTAAACATGTTTAAAATGACGAAATAATTAGTTAAATTATATATAAGCGCGTCAATCACCATTTTTCAAGAAGAGAAAATTGATATTGCATCTGCCTATAAACATCAAGTCTACACCATAAAATAAGTAAATACTATGGGTGTATAATTTCTAAGTATTTCAGTAGATTTCCCTCAATGAAATACATGTGGAGGAGCTTTGACAGCATTAGCAAAAGTGCATAACAAAGTAAATGAAATAATTAACAAAGTGAACTATCTCACCTCATCATGTCCATGTATAATACTTTAAACTGCAAAAAAATTCACTAAAAGTCGTTGTAACATGTGTCAGCCACGCCTCGTAAACCGTTAATGCCCAGCTCTTGCTGCACTCGGGCTCACGCTGTTCCTTGAAGTTTCTCAGAAACGTTTAATAATAGCGGACGCAAAAACCAAAACACCAATTGGCGACTCGAAGATTCTTTATTGTAACACCAACATAGAAACAATGCTACAACTAAGTTCTGTGAACAAATATTACAATAATGAATCACAGTATTACTTCTGACGATATCTGACGATATATTGTTACACCAACATATAAATGACGTATGACTAAGGTTTCTGACGGTGTTTTACTCTTCTTTCTGAACAGCGATCGATGAGACGATGACTGTCGTATTGATGCCTCCGCGAAAATTGGGGAAGTTGGTTTTGAGCAGACAACCATGAATTGATCGTTCAATCTTCAACTACATTGACAACATGTCTCTTCATGTAATTCGACATTTTTTGGGCGGAAAAGTACTTATTTCAACAATTTGTAAACTGGCCGTAAATCACGGCCGGATAAAGATACCATCATTTGTTGTTTATGCTAAAAGTGCCGTATTTTATCATTTTTCAGAGGGAATATAGGTTTAAAAGTGTGTAAAACGACTAAAAATTACCTAATTTTGAGGGTTTTCAACAAATAAAGCCAGTATCCATCAGCTGATCAAATGACCTACGGCCATCTACAGGCTGTCTTTGGTCTACGCGGAACGAATAATGTAGAAGTTGTGGGTATTAGGTTTTGCGTTAGTTTACCTCGTACTATCCGTGAACGTCAATACCGTCAGCCTATAAACATTGTAATGAGATCTCTTCTCTACCTACGGTAGAACAAGGAGGGGAGATTCGAACTATTTGGTCGTTTGTAGTAGGCAGTTTGTATATGACCGTAGGTCGTTTGATAGTTCGAATCTCCCCTCCTTGTCCTACTGCCGGTAGGGAGGAGATCTCATTACCATGTTCAGGAACAACAGTATTGACGTTCACGGTAGTACGAGGTATACTAACGCAAAATATAATACCCACAACTTCTGTAGTACTCGTTCTGCGTAAACCAAAGGCATAGCAAAACACCAAAATTGATCGTCTAAATTACGGGATATATTTCGGGATCAAATCGGACTGCGAGGTAATGCTTGGCTAGCTAGGGAACGTGCACGAACGAACGAAAGTGACACGACGGAGTACCAAATGGAATGGATGCTTGACCAGAAGCCTTGAGCTAAACAAGTTGACCTAAATAGTGAGGGTCAGCATCCAATGTTCAGTGATAAATGCTGTGGCCAATAATTTTTGGGAACGTTTTACCGCTACAAATGTTTGAAGTTTTAAACAATGACTACAAATCTGAACTATTTTATCTTATCGTTCCCACCTGGTTATAACACCTCAGAGGATAAACCAGGCTTGTTCAAAAGCCAAGGAAGAATTATATAGCAGTGAAGTATTGGTTATCATAGGGAGTCATAAACTCGAACTAACAACCAGAAGAAGTGATGTCAGCCCCTTCAGTCGACTCATTCATGAACATTTTAGACAAACGAGGAAAGCTTATCAGGAAAAGACTTATGTTGGCCTCAAATCTCTCATCCCAAAATAATAAACATGAAATGTGAATCTGGGTCTTTTACTGCTGTAAATTATTTTCACTCTCAAGCAGTCTTCACAAGGCGCCTTGCTTGACCTTAACTTGCCGAGGATCATATTTTCATCAAAATAACTAAGGATATATGTTTGGAAATTTATAAGTCATCCCAGTTACATAGTCACGACCAGTGATAACATTATTTAGTTGATATAACTGTCAATAATGAGTCTCTTTACAAGTCCACCTCCAGTTGTTAAGCGTCTGATAAGCTACATCAAAGAAGGTTCTGACAAGGAAGAAAAGTGGAAAGAGAAAGCTGTGAAGTCACTGGTCAAACGGCTAAAAAATGGAACTCAATTAGATGAACTAGAACGTGCTCTTGTTAGCCAAGATCCATCCACGAGATGTGTTACAATACCACGCTCCTTAGATGGACGCTTACAGGTGAGTTTTCCGTCTATTATTGATCAAATACCCCCACGATTTCCGCTCTTCAGTAAACATTCGTGTCCTAGCGATCCCACTTTGGAATTTCTAAATTCTCGACTCAGTGTAACAAGCAAAATTGCGTGGTTTGTTTATTCTTTCTGAATGTGTTAAATGAGGACGTCATTCTCACCAGTTATTGTAACAGTGTCACAAACCTTTAGCTGCAACAAATGTCTGACTTTTAATGGTTGCTACATAGGCGTAGCGGTTGGCTGATGTGAGTTATATCGTATGCCAATATCAGTCAGCAGCTTTTTAAGTCTCAGTTAGTCACACAATAGGTGTGGTTCATTTCTCCGAGACAATTACGTTGTCTCACGTTTCGCTAGAGACTTGAGTCCAAATCCTATATTGAAGTCTGAGTTGTTGTTGTTGTTGCCCAGTAATCTTTGGTAGTACTCCGTGCAGCATTTTGAGAACGACTTCTATTGGTCTTCAGGAAAATTTACACTAGTCTACCAATATTTATGGGTGTTCATGTAGAGCTAACTCAATTTCTCCAAAACTGAGGGAGAGGAAAGGAACTTGAAGCCTTATTATGAGACACGCCTTTAATCCAGTCGTTTACCCTTCTCTTCATTAACCCTGTCTAGATTTGATGAAAGCCTTTTTCAAACGTCTTGACAATGACACTAGTAGGGCAAACAAAAGCTAAACCATCAGGAGCTTCTTGCTTTGGAGAGGTTGAGTGAGACAAGGTGATCTACCCTGAAACTATGTTTTTCATTTCCCTCGGCAAACTAACAGTTCTCTCTATGTTGACTAGTAAGCTAGTTGGATTAATAGGACGATGCTCCTTAATGGCATTCTGAATTCCTATTTCTAGGATCATATTGATATGTTCCTTCACGTCCCTTAGAGATTGCGACTGACTCGGTGACACTGAACGGCAACGACAGCCTTTTGATTATGATGCTGACCGTTGCGGGTAGGTTTCATCCGGGCCACTAGAATTTCTGCGGCCTGGATTGTGAGTAGTGACATCTGAAACCACTCAGGAATGTTTGTTAAATCATGAATGCGGGTTTGAGAGAATAATTGGTTGAAATGATAATATAAGGTTTAACCAGTACTTATTATGGTATTATTAAGAAGTAGAATTTGGAAAGTGTCATTCTATGTGATCTTCATATTGCTAGAAAAACCTTTTAAGAAAACCTCTGGTTGTATTTCATATGGTTTTGTACATCTTGAAGCCAAGACATCACTGCTTCAATCCACTGGAAACGAGCAATTTATCTAACGTATTTTTATGCCGAGTAAACTGTCTAATCTCCGTTTGCTTATTGTGGCGGCGGATGGGGGGGGGCGGGGGTTGAGTCTGTTGGCGTGTGAGGAGTCATTGACCTGTGACTTTATCCGTGATCATTTCGGTTATACCCGAGTTTCATCCATTCATCAATCATAGATGAACTAGTTAGCTGGCCACTTGACGAATGTAGCACCATTTCTAGTAGATATATTTGCACTTCAAATAGTAAGATAAGACTATGCCTGGTTTGTATTATATCACAAACCAGCAGTACTACATGATCACTATCATCATCGAGAATAACGAGGTCTGATAAATAAAGATCTCAGATTACGTTAGTTCTCTAGATCCTAATACCGGTTTTGGGAATCTAGACTATTAGGATCTCCCTTTCCTGTTATCACTAGCTTTCAAATGGTCATTCCTAAAACAGCAAGGATTTTACGAATAAGATTATCAACTAAATGTAAACCATGAAAGTAACCCTTGTTAGAGTTGGTTGTTTTTTTAGGCTGCATATATGTATATATGTCGCAGTTTGCTGACTGCCATTTATTTAATAAAGTATTCATTTTTGTACTCACAACACAGGGCTGTGCGACTTGGCTTACAACAATCCACACACAGGTTTATTGGTGACCGTATTAGTTGTATTGACGTTTTTCCAGTCACCACTATAACCTAGTAATTTTTAGGAGGTAAAACTTTTTATCTGTAAACTCATATCATCGATAGTACTACTTAAGTCTTCTGTAATGTTACCTGAAGGCTGAAAATTACTCATTTTTCTATCCCTTTCTGCAGTACTGTCGGTGTAGTCAGTCTTTATGAACCGATTCAATACCCAGTGTAAGTGTTTGTTATGCGTGATCCTCGTGTGTCTCGATTACGAGGATAGTATCAGCGTTAGTTTAGGGTAATTGGTAACGTTGGTTGCTACCGGTACAGCACATTCACACCGGACTTAAGTCTGACCGTAGTTCCCCTGCTTTAGACTGCCTTTTGTTTACTTTTTTGTCATTAGTGCGTGGTCTGAGGTAGAATATCAAGGCAGTCAGTTTGAGTACGTCGACAGATTCGCTTGCTTTTTGTGAAGAATAACTGGACAGCGTTACTCTGGGCAGTCAGTTAGAAAAGTTGGTCAATTGTTAGAGGATTCATTACCTTATGCCTTGCTCTTCCAGAAGTGCGATGTGTTCCGAAAACAGGGGATTAGGTAAACAAGATAGAATGTTGCAAAGAATTGTATGTGCTCAAATTGTTGTACGTAAAGGCGATACATAGGGAGGAGAAAACGTGGATGAAATGTCTGATTTTTGATTATAGCTTGAAACCACGCAGTAGTTTTGGTATAGGTATGAAATTTTCAGCATATAATATCGGTAACCCAAATTTTGCAGGCCGACCATAAATATCTGGTGTGCGTCGGTAGGGGATCGAACCCCGGACCATATTGTGTATATGTAGTTTTTAGTTGGCCACATCTGTTTATACAGTAGTGCATATGCTACTTGTAACCGCAGTGGCGTTACTGTGTATCACTGTACTCTAGGACTTTGAATCGGGACTAAGGAACAGGATTTTTTGATCTTTAAAGTTACTGTAAAGTGGTTCTGAGGGTGAAATATTTCGTAGTCACGAGGCGCATAATCCTGCAATGCGACACCTCTTGCGCAAGGTCTGATGATACTTGCAACTTCTTAGCCTGATCTGCTTAGCTTTCTTTTCAACGTGTTTCTAACTTTACTCCTCGTGGAAGGTAATAACTCCTCATACTTGCAGACTTCTACCAACACCGAGTGTTTGGTCTACATAAGTCACATCCGATGCTTAGTATCAACATAATTATCGTTGTTCCACTACACAGGTAATGCTGTGAAGGCATGTCCAACAAAAAGTGTGTGAAGTTATGCTAACCACTTAGTGATTCAAACTAGTGGAAAATGGGTTTGTTATTTGACAAACCAATTCGCTGTTGCATTGTGTCTGAGGCGTATTTTCAGTACTATGTCAAACACTTATCACTATATTTCAGCGTCGATTACCGTGTGTGTTTTAATGACTATCTACCTTTTCATTTTATCTTTATTTACAACAGTTTTAGAAACCTCGAATTTCCCTGTCCCATGATTAATTCTATCTAGGTTGTTATAGTCTGAGTTGTTTACATATTCGTGAAAGAAGTGAAATGAAATTCATAACCATTTATGAGTTTGTGCACTAGGAAATAAGCCTCACTTTTTATGAGAGTTGAATGCATCAACCAAGTATACATACTTAGGTAGATGTGATAGTCAAATATCTAAACTTATTACTCAACTCTACGTAATTACAGATACAACTGATAGAAGTTACACTGTGTTAACTGGAGTTCAAGTGCGTGACTTTATGATCATAATGGAAGTAATTGATCAGATGAGTATGGATATATTTCAATTGCTTTCTCCATGGTTAAACCACTGGTTGTCACTTTCTCCAACTTCTCATTCACTGCGCTATTCTGTGTTTGCAATTCTGTAATGTTTTTTTTTAAATTTTTTTTAAAGTTACCGTCATCTTAGTTTTAGTGTGAAAACTCCTTACCGTTTGTATTTGTAAATTCATCGTAGTTTGATTACAGTCGTTTTTTTCTATGTGATCTGGAAAACACGGAAACAGAAATCTTATGCTAGTGGCTACAGGGGAGTAAACTTGATAAAAACGGTGTACCAAATCGTAGATCGCTAAGCCAATGGATGTTATATGAATATATGCATAAATTGAAATATAAATAAAGTGCCGCTAGTTCAACTTAAATTCCGTGTGCTTACCAGTATTTTTAAAGTGTCTTACTGAAATGCTTAAGTCAGTGTTTCAAAGTAGCACTTTTGCGATGTATGATATGATAATTTGTGCTTTCAGGTTTTCGTCGAGTGGAATACCTTAAATATACTTTATTATTCCCCTGTTTCTGTTTCAACATGAGTTCACTTCACTTCTGTGCAAGGCTCGATGTTGGTTTTCCAGTCAATCACGAGAGAGGTGTGTTGATGATACTTAGAGTTTATACACACCACTTCTGATGGTAAAAACTCAGTTACCTGAGACATTTGCTGTATGCCATGTGAAGTCACACCTAGTGTGGGGTGCTGCTACAATTCAGTCACTGAGTTCAGACTAAAGTAAGTAACTCTGGGACTCACTACCTGATAGTTACTTACTGAAGCTCTTGATCCGTGCCAGTCTTTCGGCATTATCTTATTTTCTCAAAGAAATGAATGCGTGCTAAACTCTCACATATTTGTACACGGTTTTTCAGGATTGCATATTACCAGTCTTCACTGTATTGTATGTCTACTTGATACCAAACATCAGTCAAAGTCTAACAAATATAACCCTTTCAGTACACTTGAAACAATGGTTTTCGTCACTTCCGTAAATTTTTACAGGGCAGCATGAGTGTCTTAATAAGCACAACATACTTTTCTAGCCTTCACTACCAGATATCACTTCAACATATGTTGGTAGACAAAGTCGGAATCAGCTTTCACATCGAGAAGCAATGCATGTCTCGGACACCGACAGTTAATTTTATTCTAGGATTTGCCAAAGACTGGAAATATAATCAGTTCAAGGTCATCCAAAAACTGCTTAATTCTCTGTGCTTCATCGATACCAAGATCTTGTACTCATCGTAAGTCGAGTTGATACCTCCGTGGCTGTAACAGTAAGATATTGTGGATAACAATCAGTGCCAGTGTAGTTAATCTGATTCGGATTGTTTAAGACTGCCTAATAATCTGAATCAATCTAGTGAATAAATCGTGGTCGTCATCCTTTAGTACTTCTCAAATTCGTTGCATGTGCTTTGCTCCTCTTTACATTTTGGGCGCTCTTCGCATCTTTGATCAACGTTGTAGAACCGGTATTCACGTCTCATTCATGCTTCACTAGGTTGTGGCTCTCCAAGAATTGATATCTAATGTCTCAGTGATCTCATTGTCTGGAAATGTTTTATGTATCTACTTACAGTACTAAAAAATATGGAGTGGACTTGGTCATATAAATACTTATTCGAGTCTGTCTATCTGTTTTTGACATAGAACTTTGCACATATGTGCGTCAGTTCAAGTCGCTAGTTTTGATTTGAAATCATAAGTCACAAGGAGTGGATGCATCTGTGTCATTGAGAACGATTTTGAGCCATATCACCAATTGTTTCCAACTATTGGTTTTTACCGACCCGATGACCACAACCAGTCAGGAATTCTATACCTTCCCACGTGACTTAAACTAACTGATGTAGATTTCATTGACTGGTGCAATGTTTTGGTTTGACCGCCGGTAGCTCTTTTCCAGCCTGACCCTATGTCAGCTAACATAGCCCGTCAAGGAAGGTGATGACTAGGCATACCTTTGTAACACATGTCCTAACCATCTCAGTCGATGTAATTTCACGGCCTCGTCGATTAGTTTCCCCTCCTTACCTACCAATCGACATCTAACCTCAATATTGCTCACATTATTATACCACTTCACACGGGAGATAGAACGCATGCACCTGTGATCGGAGACAGCTAATCTTTTCATGTCTTCCACTCTCAATGGCCAGGTCTCACAGCTGGCCCTAAAGCAGGACGTATAGGACTGATGAGCAGCACACCCGCCCTTTGGTCGATAGCCGGATATCACGTCTACGCCAGAGACGGCATAAATTGGCGTATGCGAAACTAGCCCTCTGTATCCGTGCTGAGATTTCGTCAGAGATCAACCCGTTGGCACTGGCTGATGGTACTTCCCAAGTAAGTGAAGCGGTCAACGTCCTCTACCACTTCACTTCCTATTTCTAATCTAGGAGTCGGTGTAGTCCAGTCCTGTAACATCATCTTGCATTTGGCGGGAGCGAATGGCATGCCAAACATTCGTAGATTGCAGCTCAAGGTGTTCAGAAGCCTCTGCTGTATTTTGTCAGCGTCCTCGCCTAGAAGGACTATGTCGTCTGCATATTCTAAGTCAACGAGATTATTCCCTGGTAGCAAGTCAATCCCTTTGTCTCTGAAGTGAGTTAGGGTTAAATCCATTAGTACATCTATTATGAAATTGAATGAGAATGAGGACAGTGGGCATCTCTCGTTGACGGACACCACTAGTCGCCACCGGTTCAGATGACCACTCGCCCTAAGCCCTCACCTGGCTGCATGAGTACGAGTAGAGTGCCTTGATCAGTGTAATGTATTTTCTCGGCATTCCCTTTACAGGCAAGCATCACCAGAGAACCTCTCGGTCAACATAATCGAATGCCGCCTTCAGGTCAAGAAATATGATGATTGTTGGACGCCGGTAAGAATGCTTATGTTCTAGAATCTGTCAAAGGGTGAAGATATAATCAGGGAGGTGTTGGATGTTCGACAGGTTGAGCGTGGCTATAGGCCAATTAAACTATTCCTCATAGTGTTCTTTCCAGCGTTCCAGTCATCTATCCTGGGAGCTAATTATGGTGCCATTTTTCTCAGAGAATGTTTTACTTATCATTTGCCTTTTACCACATGTTTCCGTGATACGGCTGAATAGTTGTCTGGTGTTACCAATCACCGATGCCTTTTCCATCTCTTTCGCTCTTGTCGCCCACCACTGTTCACGGTCGTTACGAAGACTTCTTGTTAGTTTTCTTTTGAGTAGCTTTCCCTCCTCATCACAATCGGAGCTCGTCGGAATCAGTCTTCTTGCGTCAATCAGTTCGGATAAGGCGGTAGAGATCCAATGGCTCTTACTAACTTTTTTAGCTTATTAACGGCCTTTACAGCTGTGTCTACAGCTAACTGTATGTTGTGCCAGACTACCTCAGTGGGAGTCCTGCCGTCGACCTCAGACACTCGTTTCGCTATATCTTCCCTAAATAGAAACTCAATGTCTCTATCTAGTTGGGGACGTAACTGTTTTGCTGCCATCAGTTTCTTGTGTCCGTTTATTGTTGTAAGCATAAACGTGCGCGAACCAGAGCATGATCAAAGTCTACGCACGTGTTCCAGATGTAGCGGCAGTCTTCTACTGACCTTCGCCAACGACACCCTATCGCTATGTGGTCTGTCTGAGTCCAGCGCTGATTTGGTGATGGAGTAAAAAATCAGTTGGCTGAACTGCTGTTAATGACCGCTGCACATAGCAATGCGGATAACAGCCACGAACTATGAAAGAAATGGTTGTTTTTTCGTGTTGAGTAACAAAATGTTGTTTTTTTTCTGTACCGATCCTTGCATTCCTTTATTAGTATGATTACACTATTTAAGTCATGGTTTCTAAATTTTTTATTTAATGTTAACTGTATAAGACCAAGAATTCCATACAAGTCTGTTAGGATGAAGTAAAATAATTTTTTCTTCTAAATTTACATCATGTGCTTTATTTTTTGTTTTATTTATATGTGGTTTTAAATTTTTAACTCTTGGGTCATTCTAGTGTTTCTTACTACATATTTTTTTTATTTTTCACTCTGTTCTCATACCTTGATTTTATATTATTAGGTTGCTCAGAAAAAAGGGCTACCACACGTTTTTTACTGTCAACTCTGGCGATGGCCAGATCTGCATACTCAACATGAATTGCGCCCTATTGCTACTTGTGAATATTCCTTCCAGTCCAAACGTGATGAGGTTTGCATTAACCCTTACCACTATAGAAGAATCGAAAACCCAGGTTCGTACACGTAATTTTTTAAAATTTCTTTATACACCATTGATTATTACAGTATAGCATATTCTCTCTTCACACATAAACGCACCAGTTCAAAAGCACAAAATGGAAGAGAGGAAATTAGTTAGGATAACAGGTTTTTCAATTACCTGCAATTGAAAGAGAATAGAATATATGTTTTAAGTTTCTTCACATCTAAAAGGTAATATGAGAGGAATATGCGAGTGTGTAGGCATGTGTATAGGGTGCCCTATATTCAAGATTATCCAACAACTTGTCAGAGCAATATCATCAATACCGGTTAGTAGTTTAAAAAGTACGCTTGCCTGTTGAATCCTTGGTAATAATCTTGTACACTATTCATTTAAAGAGTTCCGGAATAATCTATTTGTGTGGACCCAAAATAATCTGAGTTTTTTATGTTATGAAAACGCTTATCTGAGACAGGTATTAAACGCAGTGGTAGTGTTGTATTTATCATCAGACTTCGGAGAACTATACGCTTTATTAATTTACTCAACTGATGACCTGCTTTGTTGACGTCCCATTGTGATATTTGATATTGAATCATCTGATGGTACCTGAAACATAAAGCCAAAAACTTTAATTGATATAATCCTGTTTTCTATATGAAATCATGTATGCCTACATTAACTATACATATCCAATGAAATCTCACTGTTTGGTCAACTTTTTGTGCTATGTTTATAGCATGAATCTTGGAGAGCTATTTGTTGTAAAACAGATGGCATAAGTGTTTTGTTTCAAATATCGTAACAGCTTAAGATGACACTATTATTTATGTCTGCATGGGTATATGTGTCCTTACTGATTGGAGGATTTCATAATGAGCTGACATTAAGAGAACCACTGGAAAACCTGGGAGTACTGGACAGCTGTATCGTCCTAGTTTGGGACTCTTCATCAGTACGCACCCCCGCCAGGGTCCGAACCCAGGACCTTCTGGCTACAAGGCGAGTTCGTAGACCATTAAGCTACTGGGACCCGATCCAATGGCCCATGAATTCTAACTTCTGCGAATTCACGACATAGCGCGACCATTTCACAATGCCTTCTTCGATGAGTTACTGCCTCATCTTCAACCGCCAGCGGTCGAACCCATGTGTATTTTTCTCTGCCAATTACTTGTTTGACAAATAAAAGGATGCTTAATTTCATCTTTGAACAAAGCAAGAACTACAGTTTTTGCAGAATGAAGACATTATTAATGTCTTTTGCCTGCAAGCAGCTGACGAGAAGGCAACCAAATAAGAGATGGTACCACTTTATTCTGCAAAAGCTGTGGTTCTTGCTTTGTTCAAATTCATTAAGGGGAATAAATGTATGTAATTTCATCTTCCTTGTTGTTTACCGCCTGCAGGTGTATTCTGTTTAACAAATGCTCTTTTTGCACAAAGTAATATCTGATGTTTGTCGGTGACCTTTTTATTATTATTTTTACGTACACCGTTTCATATTGTAATATGGTTTATGAAACTTATTCGACAAATTCTTACTATGCTGTTGCTAACTAAAAAAATTTACATATCATAATAATTTCTGTGAATTGTTACAAAAGCATTTTGTGTACAGAATATCACGGTGCTAGTAGGTTTAAGTTTATTTTGCTGTCGTGTTTTGCGTTGATTTTTTTTTTTGTTTGTTTGTGGTATTCTACCATGTTTCATTTACTTTTTTTTGATACTAATACACTGTTCTAAGCTAAAATGTTAGTTTGTTATTGAATTTGAAATTCCATTCCTCACACTTTAATTAAGTTTGTGTTTACTGTTTGTATACTTTGACCGTCATCGTCATTATTATTATTTTTATGCTTTAACTTTATTGATAAATCTAATGTTTATGTATTAATCAACTTTAAAATAATAATTCACTTCTGAATCTAGAAGTCGAATTCTGTATCCTAAGCGGTTGACTTCGAAAATTGTTATATTTCATAACTCTATATGCATTGATATGAGTTTCATCATTGTTGTAGATCTATTCTATTGTTGTGTCAGCAAGCAAGAAATGCGGTTAATTAAGCTCAGAAGTCTGTCATCATATAATAGTACGACCTTCATTAAGCGGCGATATAAATCAAATACTATCTATTTAGCAGTGAACAGTCTTAAAAAACTCTTTCGTCATTAAATATATATCTGATTTTCGATTACTTTTACTACACAGACTTCAGGAGTTAACCAGCTATCCCGAAGATGTTTATCAGGAGAGACTAATAACAAATCTTCATTTTAGTTTCATTATTTTATGAACTTTGTCATCCTATGAAATTCGATAAATTAATGTTAGTCTACAAATGGTACAGCATAGGTATAAGAGTTTAATCAGCCTTATAACGCAATTAATTGATTAACTTTCTAGAAGTAAATGTCTAGATTAGTTAATCAATCATCTTAGTGATTGATATTTACCAGGAAAGTTTGATTCAGTTGTTCATGCCATTATTGCTGTGGGTGCTTTTCATTTTAAGCAGCATAATTTCTACATGTGCTTTCTAATGTATCCAAATTTATAAGAAATTGTAAAAGTGGGGCTTCAAATTATTCCTTGGTTTGCTCATTTCATATATGTATATATATATATATATATATATATCACATGAAATTTTGTTATCATTTGTGTCACCTTTTATTGTTTTGCACCCTTCCATGTATAGTTCTTCCACCAATAATGGTCCCACGTACAGTCAATAATGGTACCTCTGGAAATAATAATGATAATGTACATCGTGGTATGGCAGATACTGGTGAACGTTATGGTAGAGGGTCTTGTTTCAGTTCTCATCACTCTCGATATTCTTCTATGCATAATCAATATCAACAAGGACTTCAACAACACCAGCAGCAACAACAGTTACAACAACATCATTTAAACGCTTTACAGGCTCATCATGCGTCCACAACCGGATTAAATGATCCTATGATGTTAGGGGATGATTGTGGTTCTGAACCGAACAGCTTAGCTGCCCTATTAGCACCTCCGTCTAAACAACCAAGACAACATCTTGCCACAGATGCTGTTACAGCTGCTGCTCTAGCCAGAGGTGATGCACTCGATGCATACTCTGCGGCTACTAGAGCAATGGCTGGTCTAGAGAATGCTGGTGTTATCGGTGGAACACACCCACCGTGTGTTAGCCTACGAGAGGTAAATATCCTCATTCATATTTTTTTTTAAAACCTCTCTTTGATTTTTATTTAGGATTATTTGTCAGGTTTTTATTTCACAAGGTATAGAACTTTGCCTTTCGTCTACTTTAAGTTATATGATATTATCTTCATGGGTAAAAGTAGTACTTTTACTGTCAAACAGATGTGTTTCGGGTGTATTTCCATGTATGTCTTCCACTTTATTACTCAGTACTTCCTATGCTGATTGTCTTTGTTTGTTCGTCAGAGAATAAACTTCCAGAATTGGATTTATATACTTGGTTTTACTAAGTGAACTTATAGTCATGTTTGATGAAGTCAAACAATTGGTAATATCAGGCTTGGTCATATGATCATGATCATACACAGTGAATTTAAGAAGACGAATTAATCGAAGAAAATACTTTCTATTGAGTTTATTCTAAGAAAACCGTATAGTTCTGTATGGATATGAGGTTCGTAAATACTTACCATGCTAAAATGTAATTACACTGTGTCATACTGATGAAATAAAACATACAGCCTAGTTAGTAGAGTGTGATCACATTTGTGGAATTTTTCATACTCACCAGAGTGTATGGACAGTTAGACAGTATCATCATCATCATCATCATCTGGTCATACATTACATGCAAATTTCCATTGGGTGTTTCACATTGCAAACAAGTTCTGTTTATCATTATGCTGTCTGGTGTAGTAGTTAATATTCGTAGGTACATTTTACTCATCATCTTATTCCTTGACGTGAGGTTATAATGTCTTGTAATGGATTTTTCATTGTTTACATCCAGGCAGCAGAAAATATGACGTTGGGCGGAACACCTAATTTGGTTGGGACACCTCCTGCTCCACCTCATACAGGAGGTGGTTATCAGTCATCCCTTATGAATGTGGTTTCAAGTTTGAGCGGTGATGGACGAGATTTTGCCCGCAATCTTGGTGTAGCAAATCATATTCATAATGCTACTACAAGGTTTGTTATTACCTGATATTTTTGCAATGTCTCATCAATTTAGAAAGCTATATTTTACTTGTCTTAGCTATATACAATTCGTATGCTTTTAGTTCGTCTATTTGAATTTAATTACTCTCACGTGTATCTTTTAATATTTGTTAGAAGTTTTATGCTGTGAGGGTATTGTAACAGACTTCTTTATGATAACAATGCTCTCCCTCTTTGTACTGTCAAAAGAGCCTTAATCTTTTAAAAGTTTTGTTCGATGTAAGTAAGACTAGAGACTTCACCAGGGTTTAGAAAACATGACACTACTTACATTGTATTCGCCGTCATTTTGAACAATATTACTACTAATGCCAAATTTCTTTTTTAATTAAATTAAGAGGTGAATTGGTGTCGATATCCTTCTTATGCCTATGGATATATCGACTTTGTTGGTTTTTGATAGTTTAAAAAAGCACATTGTGTGTGTGTGTGGAAGAGAGAGAGAGAGAGAGAGGGGATTAGCACTAATGCTGGGTGAAATATTTTTATATACACATTTAGATGTTTCAATCTATCAGCAAAAAAATATTTTTATCAAATGACTTCATGTTATAATATATAATGTAAACACACTTAAGAGTTAATGTTTATGCATTTTATGTGTTCATATGCGTAATATTTGTGTAAAACTTGATTAATTATTGATCCATAACTATTCATTTGCACATTATACCCTAGATATGCTAAGCTCCAACCGTAATCGTAGTTACTAGATTCAGAGCTTTGCTAATTTAGTCAAGCCAGTATGAACTGATCAATGATTCTTTGAAGATTTTTCATCCATGACCAGGGAAATTGACGGCGTGTAATGCTTGATCGGATATGGTAGTCACCCCATCGGCTACATACCAGTATCATGTTTCTCCAAAATAAATGATGTGTGTATCAATATTCCTGTCTCAGTATCGGACAAAAGAGTCAGTTTTATGGAAAATAACTTTTTGAGCTCCTCTGCTCTAGTGATAAGAGTGAAGTCAAATGTTGTTAGGTATAGGGTGTGTCTATTTTCACACAAAGTGTCAAAAATATTTTTAGAAGAAGGAGGCCTCTTAGGTGGTCATTCCAGCTCTTTTTCCTAGTTGCGTTATAATGAAATCTATATTTATATTATGAGGACATCTATTTGATATCATTCTTGCTAACACACTAGGTAGCTTAGAATCACCTACATTCTTCTTCTGTGGAGAAGAAAGCCACTAAGACCATTTGACATCTAGTAAAAACCAGTATATTTCGCCGATTCCATCAAAACTTATGAATGAATGCACAAAAACTCATTGCATTTGACAGTGACCAGTTTGGAAGAGCGAATACAACGTAAAAGCGTTGTTTTGCTTGATGACAGCCGACTAAACTTAGATTTAGAAGACTATTGGGATAAATAAATAACTAACAAACAGTTTTGTGGATATATAGAGTGGGATAATTCAACATTCGGTCCACAGAATAGGGACCTGCGATAATAAAAGAACAAACGCTAAGAAGAAAATTTTCAGTTTAGCATAACGAAATTGTCGCAAATAAGAGTTTTATCATTCAAATATTTACGTGGGGATTAGCATTTAAAGTCTAAACCTGAGTGAATTTCTGTTTGTGGTCACAAAAATTGTTTAGAGTTTAGTAAGTCTAAGAGTTACTTAAAATAAAGATGGATAAAGTGTTTTCATAGGGATAAGTATTCAAAGTATCAGCAAGGTAATAAATAATTCAAGTATGCAAATAGAACTTGGACACTTTGGTAGCGTATAACTGAGTGATCTTATTTTTCTCGTGATAATAACATGAAATTGTACTGTGTATCTTAGATGCTATTGTTTTCTGAAATATTGACATATTCATACCTGAAAAGAATCTCTGAGCTCTTATTTGTTAATTTATTATTACTCACTTAAGTCCAAAGTTATTTGGCGTGACGATAGCAACAATGTGGAGTCGTAGTTCATTAGTTAGGGTTTTGAAACGCGTTCATACAGTTAAGATCACTGGCGCTATGCACAAAATGACTGTGATTCACTACCTAATGCACAGCTGCACACATGTTTACGATGTAGCATTCAAGATATGTTAGCTACTGTTTTTATCCACCGTCTTGATTCAATTGTCTAACCTGTGATAAGCTATAAATGTATATCAATTCTATACCATATTCTGCGTTCACATAATCTTGTTTTGCCTTGTGTAAATAACATCTTTTTTTGTTTCAATAATGTCGAAAATTCTTCTATTTTTTTTAATTAGATCTCTCAGTCTTGGTGATTTTTCACTTCCTGTCTCTGGATGCCAAGAAGATCGATCTAACGATTCCCAATGTCATGGTCAAAATACAGATAATTTAGGTACAAGTTTCATGGGTCAATCTTCTTCAGTTTCCTCATCAACAACTCATAAAGCTTCAAGTGTTGCTGGTGTTGGTCCCTCCGTAAACTCTCCTGGTACACTGTCTTCAGTTGAAGAAAACTGTATCAGCGAAGATGACAATATGGATTTAGGTTAGTATTTATATTTGGTCTCTTGATGATGATACGCAGATGTTACTGAATGTAAAACTTGAACAGTATGGTAGTGTGCAATTCCATATTAACTTATTTATTGAATATATTATATTGTGAAACAGTATTATTCACTGAATGACATTACAAAAACAACTTGTTGTTCATAATCTTATCAATTGTCGATTGGTAAATAAACAAAATTGACAATAAACAAATTAATACGGAATTGTGAATGAATTTCCATTGATTGTGGTGACTAAAACATATTGTACGTTTAAATTAACTGATACATAACTGACTTTGAAAGGTAACTAAATAAAGACGCGCAACATTGGTTCATAAACCGAGTCATGTAACGTAGTGTAATTTGCTTAATTGCCACTTTTGACGTAATCGAAATGGTGAGTTATTATTTGACTCAGGACTGATAGAGTGCAAAAGAAAAGGATTAATTCACCTCTTATTCATATGAATTCTTATCTGCTACTCCGTTGTGTGAAGCAACGTGGATCATTGAGCAGGAGTGTTGAATTCTTATCGAACACTGTTGTTTGTTTTTATAATCTTCATACACTTAATCCACTTGTCCTATATGCATCGCCTGTGAAGCCTACATCTTTCTACAAAGGTGAGACTGATTTTCTTAATCTAAAAACCCTCATTCAATTTCCAATTAACAGATGACATTGATTTCGACAGTACGTTTCATGTAACTCAACCACTTTAGTCGATGGAGGTTCTCAGTTGATTTGTCTCTATTACGAAATATTCTACTAAATTTTTCTTTACTCAAAGATGGATACTATTCCATGTGAACAGTGATGTCACAGTGTGACAGTTGTCAAATCAACTAAGGTTGTCACAAATTTACCTTCCGCATCCATGTATAAGCAATATAACGTTTTACTGCCTTTTGTACTCAGTTCTTTTTAACACTCATATTCTCTGTGTTGACATACAGTAGTTACTACCAATAATCCTTAATAAATAAGACTGAATCATATGTGTTAAGTGTTTATATTTAATTTTTATTATTCAGTTAGATTTGTGTTTCAGTTATGGTATGAAACAGTTCGTAGTATTTTACAAAACCATATTAAAGGGTTTTCAGTACGTGTTTCCTAGGGTATATCATGAATAATTTATATTTCCTAACCTTAAATAGTCATAATAATAATAAAACTATTATTGTAGAGCGCAGTAAATAAGGGCTTTAATTACCCTGTTTAATTTTCTTCATAATGCTTATCTCTCCCACCTACATCCTTTGAAATTGTGTTATCAACATTATTATTTATTTATTTATATATTTATAACTGGACAGTCATGAAAAGATTGGCTTTTGTTGATATAGGGACCACAATGATTATGACGATGATGATAATAGGAGTGTATATAAAAATCCGGATATACTAAAAAGCCTTCAGTTGTTTTATTCGTGCGATAATCTATTGTTATAATTCACATAACGTATAGTTTTTTTTATGTAGATGTGGTCGTAGTGATGTATGCGTGCGTGCGTGCGCGTGTGTGTGTGTGTCTGAGTGTTTATATAGACATAAATTATTTTCTAGGTATGTGAATAAGTGTTGAGAGTTGAAGTGGTTTGTTCTAGAATTCTCTCTGTTGTTCCGCATTTTAACTGACGTTTTCTAATTTGTGACTAGTGTTTATACATGAAATAAACTAAATTCCCTGTGTAAGTGTATACAACATCATGGCTGCATATAAAAGCATAAATTTACAGTACGTAATTGCGAGCTCTGTTTTCATCAAAATAGATACAAGTTCACACTATATTTTGTGTGTGTGTGTTTATGTACACACCTTGCCTAACTGTATAGATTAATGATTAAATAATGAATAGTTTAGTGAGGCTTTAATAATAATTATTATTCGTAATTAACTACATACCTTTATGGGATGTAGAAAGGAAACAACACTTTGCTAAGTTATTTTATTGTTTTTTTATCAATAGTTGTTAACGTTTAGAGACTTACTGATTGGCTGAGTGCCTTTCAGCGTAGAACTTTGCACACAAGTACAGCGGTTCAAGTTGTCATACATCCAGATATTTCAAGGGAACCATAAGATTAGGTATAAGATTCTTTTCTTTTATTCCTTTACGTTTCCAGTGGAACATAGGGCTTCAAGCTAGAGCCTGAAAGTAGCACTGGTATTTATTTTTACGGGATGGGATTGCTAGCCTCACGCCCAACCTTTCCTCTTTACCAGTCTTATAACTGGCGTAGTGCCGTAAAGCAGTGCGTCGGCCGGGAATCGCACCCCGAATTGCCTGTGCGGTTGGTGAGTATTCTACCGCTGTACCGCTGATGCACCATAAGATTCTTATCAACATAAAAGTAGTTGTACTTCATTCTGCTGTCGAACGGGGAGCTTTCGGACTTACGAATGATTGTATTGTCATTATTCCAATACGTTGGAATAGGATATTTATTATCCTTCTTTATGCGGTATTTCGTTCTCATAGGATTTGTTCTCTTATATAATGATAATATAAGATTTCCATATCTTCATAATACTTGAGTACAATGGCCTTTTACGTAACGAAAGTTTAAATTGTAAAGCTGTGGCTCACTGGTCTAGGTTCACATGTTCTAATCCCACTGCATACAATGAGGTTTTGACAGCTAAATAGTAGGACTAGCCCTCACAAAAGAGGGTTTGACTCAATGCCAGTTGCCAGAGATTGCAAGTCGTTGCCGTTGTTGTTATTAAGTGGCATGATATTTCTTTGAAGTTTAAATTACTTTCTCAATTCTATATACATTTTCCAAAGCGACATAATTAGATGTTTGTGTATTGTGGAGTGTATAATTATAGCTAATTGGATATCATTAGATTTTAGACAAATGAGATACAGTTTAAAATCAAATAATTAACGGTACTGACATAATTCATCACACTTTTGCCAGATGATGCTTCAGCTTAAATTATCAATATGTATACTGCAACTGAAGCAAAAAAAAATTGAAAAAGAGTAAATTACTAGTTTGTGGCAGAAGAAGATTTTGAACGTGAATAGTGTGTAATGTGTGCTGCTTTAAACTCACAGCATAAGGCGGTCTCTATCGTCTGATATATTTATTTTCACCTTAATCTTTTCTGCGAATAAAAGCTTTTTAGTCAGTTTGCACTTATGCAGTACGTTTCAGTAGTTTCAACGACGCAAAACATAGGCATATATGCCGCGTATATTTCTCAAGACTTCATCTATGCCACAACAAGCAATCCTAAAAGACAACAGACATTCATCAACAACTGCTTTTGCTCGATATTAAACATCTGATGACCAGAAAGGATTACCAACAGGGAACTCTGGGAATAAACCGACCAGGGACCTATTGTCCAACAAATATGTAAAAGTGAATAGAGATGGTTTGGATGTGCATTGAAAAGACCGATGAGTGATGTCAATTTCGAGTGCAACTCGGATAGGAAATGATAAGTCGACCATGGGTCTGTGAATGATATGGAAGAGATTGTGTGATGAGGTCGCCTGAAAAGACTGTAGAGTACAGAGCGAAATGGATATGTGCACTTGATGGCCTATATTCCACTTGGAATGCAAGGGAATAGTAATAATGAATTTCGCAGTTAATTTCGTTTTTTTTCAGATTCATTAAATCTTAGCGTTTCATCTTCCTTTGATAACTGTGCACTGTGTGAATCGTTCAGGCTTCTGCTAGGCAGTTTATATTTATATAAGTCAGGATTCCACTAATGTTTTAAGCAACATAAACTGGTTACTATGTGAAAATTTATGTTGTATGCAACTAAGAACAGGCAAATCATCGTTTCATTCAAATAGTTAAGAACATGTATTTTTCTATTGGAACTTGAAACGGAATATACGAAATCTCATCGTTGTAGACCGTTTTGTTTCCAAACATTTTTGTCTGCCTAACTTGCGTGGAAAGAAACTTGAATTCGTCAAACTGATTTTTCCTTTGTTTACCTCTTGCATAATTTTTGATGCTTTATAGTCAATTTTTTGAAGTATATTTTCATCTATGTTGTCTTTATAGATATGCTGAGTGATGTCCTTATTGATGGCAATGAAATGACTTCAGTGGCCTATCAAGAACCTGAATATTGGTGTTCATTATACTATTATGAAATGAATACACGAGTTGGTGATACATTTCATTGTTCTAGTCCATGTTTAACTGTTGACGGTTTCACAGATCCTAATAGACATAATCGTTTCTGTCTTGGTCTACTATCCAATGTAAATAGAGGACATCAAATTGAACTTACACGAAGACATATTGGTAGGTTAATCTGTGTATGTATTTATATGTATACTTATTTATAATAGATAGTAATGTATAAAAATTGATACAAATCTTCGTGTTAGTAAACTTGACGATGACAAATGTGTACGAGGATAATATGAACTCATTCTTTACTTATTTCACGAATCTCTCCTCAACTAGCTGTGGTAGCTAGTGAACAATACAAAAGTATAAATAACCTGAACCATTTGAGGGTAATTTGTACACGATGACAAGAAGGGATTGTAATAGGAACTATAGGTAAATGAAATTAGCTCAGAATGATGTACATTGTTAAATTATTAAGTGTTAAAAGGATTGATTAATTATAGCATAGTTGAACGAATAATCTTGAAAAACCCGACGCAGAGTTCAGAGAATTTTAGACAGAAGTAAAGTTTACTACTTTGATAATACCATCAGGATTATGTATTAAAACACTTCCCTAGATTCCCCATTCATTAAGAAATATAAAAGTTTTTATTTAATAAAGAAATAGAGTTTAACAAGAAAAAGTATATCAGTGTAACATGTTTTTATAAAATAGCAAAAAGGGAGTAATTTGATTGACGTTTAGTTGAAGGGAAAAAAACACAACAATTATAGTAAAATTTTCTGAACAGACCAGGAGATATAGAGGAGAGGACTGTATTATATAATCAAAATCCCATAAGTTTTTGGTTTGTAAGTGAAATCACCAGTGGTGACAAAACTCACCATTGTCTGTTTTTGAGTAAATAGATTTGGTTTCTCTTCAGCTGGATTCAACTAACCTAAAAGTTAATTAAGGTTAGATACAGAGATTACATGAATTTCAGTTAACAGAGGCACAAAGTTAATATACCATTGCTCAAAAGATACACTTACATAGCTAATACAAGGAGGTCAACGTCTAAACAAAATACAAACATACAAAATAAATCAAATTGTCGGCAATATAACCAATGTCCAGTAGATGGCATGCAATTGCACTATTAAATACTTGTGTGAGCTGTTTAATTGTAGGTACTTCCTATTTTTCAACGCTGCTGAACATCATTCTGAACTAATGTCATTTACTTATAGTTCCTATCACAATCACTTCTTGTCATCGTGTACATTATTATTATTATTGTTCCCTTGGCTTCCTAGTGGAACATGGGGCTTCAACTGCACGTCTCCACTTGGCACTTCTGTCTTCCTTTTGCTGTACTTTTCACATGCATCCATCTTAGTCCATGCTGTTTCAACTCCTCTTCACATGATCTCCTCCATGTCACCCTCGCACTAACGTCCCACTCGCCGCTTCCTTTTCGGGTTCCATTCGAGCAATGGTCTGACGCGCGTGATGTCACCCAGCGACGGCCTCCTCAACGAGTATCCAATCCATCTTCACTTTTTCGTGCATATTTGTTGGGCGATTTGTTCTTGTTTTTTCTCATAGTTTCTTGTTGGTGATTCTTGTGTACATCGTGTACAAATTACCCTCAAATGTTTCAGGTCATTTATACTTTTGTATTATTCACATGGTAGCTTGTTGAGGAGAGATTCGTGAAATAAATAAGGAATGAGTTTATATTATCCTCATACATATTTGTCATTCTTTCTCTGTTCACTTATAAGTATTTTTACAGTGATATTATAGGTGATACAGTTTCATCTCCAGTTAACAAAAGAGACTAAATTGCACACCTTTTGACTATAAGGGAGTTTACCCTGTGACCCTTTCTCATCTGCAACTGGATGCGATCTTGGTGTGGACGCAAATAGAAATTTGTGTTTAAATGGTTGATTATAAATGCGTTAACTTTATCTGAGGTGATAAGTGTTCATCTCAGTCTCAGTATAAACTTCATCTAGACCAGTTTACAAAGAATTTTATACTCACACATTTTGTGTATTTCTAGGCATTTTTATTGATTTCAGTGTACAACTCTTCACTAATCGATGTAAGTGAAAGAATCATTGAAAATCTAGGATCGCTTGACATCTCTCCCATCCTAGTTTGGGTCTCTTCCGCAATACTCTTGAATGACTCTGTGAGGGATTGGACCCAGGGTCTTCACGTAACATGGCAAGCTCTTTGACCGTTCAGCCATCGGGTTGGAACCCAATCACTGGTAAATTCTAACTTCTATCAATTCGCGATGTGGCGCCATCGTCAGCTAATATCCATGAACATCTACTTCGTGCTTTTTATAGTAGCCCCCCTCAGCTATGATTTGTCATTAGAACTAGAACACTCCCATCCAACAACCCCTAATTAGGATCGATATTTAGATTTTGTGTTTTGTACGGACTTCGATTACTCTCAATGTAGATTTCGCGTAATATCACGTATTGACGTTATTTTTGAGATTACCGATTCTCAGCTCTTTTGGCTAAATGGTCAGCAATCTGGTCACATAAGCTGAAAGTCCTGAGCTCTGTCTTTGGGCTTGGTTATGAATTCTCACTGCTGATACGTCCTAAACAATTGTGCAGTACTCCATGATTTTCACTGATGGTTCTCCAACGGATATTAATTAGTAATGAAATCTACACTGAAACTTTCCAATTAATTGACTCATTGATTACCGTCCTTTGAAATGAAACGTTTGGTGCTTAACCAGTGTATGCCACGGAGTCGAGGGATGCTTTTGTAGTCTATTCCAGTTTATGCCTATATTCAGCGTTTCTTTCTCTTTCTCTCTCTCTCTCTCCCTGTATTTTTGTCTACGTACAGTTGAGATTATATTTTTGAAACTAGACTTGATGTTCTGTGTTATGTCAGTAGTCTTTGTATTGATTTACCTGTTTTTATACCTCTTCAGTTTTCGCTTTCACTATTTTATTTTTCTAGCTATTTATGCATCTCACGCTCAGTTGATAGAATAAAATAGGCATAAACGACAATAAATAATTTACATCACATAGAGGGTTTCTTTCTTCTTTTTTTATCTTATCTCTCTTCCTCCATTTTCCTGTTTATATTTTTCATACTTTTTTCTTTCCGTAGGAGGTGGATATGTTAGTAGCGAAAAAAAGTAGGGAGTAAGGCAGGGGGTGGCGCGAAAGATTGCTGTGACTTACCATTCATACATATATATATATTGATTTTCTCTACAGATCAATAAGGAGTGGAGTGTAATATTAACAGGAGAATGAATGAAAATCAATTGAAATCCAAATACAACTTAGTGTATTACTTGAAAAATACATGGTTGTATTCGTGTTTGTGTGTATGTGTGTGTGTTTATGTGGTTGCAAGTGAATGTATTCATTTCTATAATCGAGATAGGGGGAATTCTGGCCTAATAGATGTAGTAACGAGTGTATTGCCTGTTTTTATGACATTTCTACTTTTGCGAATTCCCTCTGTGGTGTCTGTTTGTCCACTACTAGTGCTAATATTGTTATGCTTGTATATCATTAATACCTGGTATTTTACGCTTCAATGATGTGCCATTCTTCATTTTGTAATATGGTAGAATATCCAATCTTATCATGTATGCTTTCATATAGCACAGTTAAATAACACAATTAGTGATCTTAGTAGAGGCTTCTCAAGGTATGTTTATCTGCGTGTAGCTGTGTATCTGATACTTCTTGCATTATGACTAGTGATTGAGTTTATATGCTGATACTGTTTCTCCTGAAATCGAGTCACCAATCTTTCTAGCAATATATCAGCTTTCAATGACCGCCTTCACCCTTTGTTCACCTTATGGATTTATTCATTGTGATTCAAAACTTGATGATCAGAAGGTAATTGTCACCGCTTAAAACACTTGTCATCATGATCTCTATTTCTTCTGCACTGAGTACCACCTATTCTTCATCATTGTTCCCGAAGTGTTGTCATCAGAAGGAATGATGCAGTAGTATGCGTCAGGCCATCCCACTATCCCCATTTATATTTAATTTCATCATAAATGTACTAGTGGAAATAACTGTAGTTGACTTTTAGTGACTTAGGGATTAGTTTTTTACTAGAGTACAACCTTGTCGATTTAGAGTACGCAGATAGTATTGCCCTTCTAGATAAAGACACTGATAAAACTCATTCTTCTGAATACTTTCAGTGGAAATCTTGGGATGTATCACATGTCACCTGATCCTATCAGATGTAAGATGATACTACAAAAGGAGTGTGCACTGATTTCCAGCTTAATGATAGTTGAGTATGTTGACCGCTTCACTTATTGCCACCAGTCAAATCAGAGGAGGATAATAAATAATCTTAAAATTCTATTTCAATTCAAGCACATCACAACATTCTAACAAGTTACTTATTATAACTATAAAAAACACTCGTCTTATTTCCCATCTGATTGTAATTGATCAATAACACTCATGTTAATAATTCTGAATGTACATTATCCATATTGATTTTTATTCAAATGTCTAATCAGTTCCACACATGTATATAAATAAAGGAAAAAAGTTGTGTGAGTAACTTGATATGATTATGAGTGGCAGTAATTTGTGCTCGAAACGGCATCACTTAGTATTACTGTATAACACTGCGTGATTTATCGAAACAAAATCTTATCTATAGCCACTTCACTTATTTGGGAAGTTGCATTAGCCTTAATGGACTGATTGCTGACGAGATTTCAGCATTGATACAAAATTCTCTTGTGGCATCTGATAGCTTACGCCATATTTCGCGCAGATGTTATATCCGTGTGAGCACTCCTGTCTGTCCTTCTTCATAGCTGTTTGGCGTAGCCATTAAAAGTGAAATATCGGAAGGTTTTCTTTCTTTGACCTTAGGTGTTTGCGTTTTATCTCTCGTGTTAAGTGGCATAATATGATGAGTTATATTAAGGTTAGGCGTAGAGTCTTAGGTGAGAAAGACAAATCAATCGACCGGATTACGAAGTTCAGATGGTTAAGACATGTGTAATGCATTCCGAGCCATAGGATTAGGTTGGAAAGGACTTCGGGGAGATCAAATGGAGACTTGATATCAATCCATGAAATCTTTGTTGTTCTGAGCCGCACGTAAAGAGATAAAGACCACTTGGTTGAGGCCGTGGAGACGCTAAAAACCCAGTTGCTTGAGACTGTAGGTATGTGGCTGCAAATCGTTCTCAATGGTGAAGATGCATTCACTCTTCGTAATCTCCTACATACATGAATTCCTTACTCTTTCTCACGTACATTTATGTTCTTTATAGTTCTTTTGCATTTCTTTCCTATTCTCTATCTTTATGTGCTATACGGAGTGTGACAACTCGAGCTGCTGCACCTGTATGCAGTGCTCTGTGTTGTCGTTTCTGAAATTGTTATGATGACGCAATGGTGGTTGTTTCAAAGGATAATTGTAAAATTAGTCTGTAAGGAGCTGAACTGCCAAAACACTGCGTGCAAAGCTCTCCGTAAAATCTGACTTTCATATCAATGTAGATTTTGATATATATTTTTAAAAATTAGCGTTTGTTATCACAGAAATTATCACACACAAACTGCATCTACGTTTTGATAATTTTGTTTACCTCATTAGTACCAACAATCGATCATATTGTTTTTTTTTTTACAGGCAAAGGTGTTAAACTGTATTATATTGGCGGTGAAGTGTTTGCAGAATGTCTCAGTGATAGTGCTATATTTGTTCAATCTCCAAATTGTAATTATATGTATAAATGGCATCCAGCAACAGTGTGTAAAATTCCACCCGGATGTAATTTGAAGATATTCAATAACCAGGAGTTCGCTAATCTACTTACTGAGAATGTAACTAAAGGTTTTGAAGCAGTCTACTCATTGACTAATATGTGTACGATACGAATGAGTTTTGTGAAAGGATGGGGTGCTGATTACCGGTATGCACTATAATCAATATTCATAAATTTAAAAAAAATATATATATATATTTTTCCATTTTTGAATATGTGTAAATATCACTGGATGATAGTTTGAGACATGCAGAAAGGTGTAAATTTTCTGAATGGTGCCGGTAATGATTATCGAATCCAAATGGGAAGCGACGAATGTGTCGTTGGTGCGAGGGTGGCATGGGGGAGATGGCGCGAAGAGGCGATGGAAGATTATGGGCAATTGTGAACCCAGATGAAGAGGATGACAGAAAATAGGACAAAGTGGAGATGTGTTGTTGAGGCCGTATGTTCCACTCGAAACGCAAGGTATAATAATAATAATAAATAATTTAGGTTATATAGCTGAAAATAAACTATACTTGTTGTACAAACTCATTCATACTTTATCGTCCTTTGAATTATCATATCATATTTCCGTGTCTGCTTCATCCTTTGCCGCTACTACTTCACCGTGTGCTAATTTTCCCTCCCTTTTATCTTCTTCATGGTAGATTAACATAAAAAGTGACTGTCTGAATTTTTACGCAGTAATAATAGCGATAATTTATTCTTATATTTAATGGTTACATGCATCATCAAGTTCTTATTGAGTAATATACTAGACAAATTATTTCTTCAAGTGTTAATAATTTTTTTTAGTAACTATTAGCAGAAAATACTGTCCATGATTACAATCGATACTTTGAGCGAACTAAAAATATAGCAGAGAATCAGGAAGGCTAATTCTTCAAAACCGAAACACTGCTACATCATTGTTCAAACTATTCAAGATTACTCACTAAGTGGTATCGAGACTGCGTCATAACACAGTTAATTCTTTTAATCTTTTCCTGCAAGATTGATATTTTTTTTGCTTTGACGCTCATCTAAGTAACGTTTGATATGTTCAATGGTTATTTTGACTTCTGAAGACTCACTTGTTCATAGGAAGTGTGAATAACCATCCATAGATCTGTCATTCGTGCTAAGAACTACCTAAGTTTCTACTCTTAGAGTAAACCACATATTCTCTAAAGCCGTGTATATACTACAATGGTAGTTGTTGATAATTAGCCTAAATAAATGTGAACCTCTTCGTCTCTGGTCAAGGTTGTTTGTGATTCCAGATGCATTAAAATCTGATGCCTATATTGTTTTCAGGATTTCATCTTGGACTGGCATTGGTTAGAGAACCACTAGAAAACCTGGGAGTACTGGATGGCTGTTTCGTTTTAGTTTGGGACTCTTCATCCGTACAAACCCACCACAGGGGTTCGAGCACGTAGACCATTAAGCCGTCGGGACCCGATCCAGTGGCCAGCCCATGAGTTCCAACTTCTATCAATTCACGATGTAGCGCGATTGGATCGGGTCTCAGTGGCGTAATGGTCGATGCGCTTGCCTTGTAACCCGAAAGTCCAAGGCTCGAACCCCTGTGGTTAGTGCACACTGATGAAGAGTCCAAACTAGGACGAAACCGCTCTCCAATACTCCCATATTTTCTGTTGGTTCTCCGACCTATATCAGCTCATAATGAACTCCTGTAACCAATCAAATTCCCACAAACTAACACTTGACTATATTGTTTATCGTTGTGTTCTATTCTGGTTATTTTGAAAATTTTTATTGCACAATTATACGCGAGATATTGATCGTTATGAATGCAATAATAATAATAAAACTGAATTAACACGAGTATTCTGGCTTTTAGTCACACAAATTGCCTATAAGTCGCTTGTCATGTATAATCTGTGAATGCTTTTTGCACGCCGATTAACATCAGTTACAGTTTCCGCGTACATTAGACTGAAGTCGTAGCAATTAAAATCTGCACTATGCTATAGTTATTACTGTATAGAGAATTTGAGAAATATTCCAGTCAATTGTAAGTCAGAGTATTCCACTTAATATTTGTCAAGTATTCATAGAAGTAATAACTTTTTTCAATGATACCTTGGGTTCCTGGTGGAACATGGGGCTTCAACTGCACGTCTCTACTTGCTTCTGTCTTCCTTTTGCTATACTTTTCACCTGCATCCATGCTAGTCCATACTGTTTCTACTCCTCTTCACACGATCTCCTCCATGTCACCCTCGCACTAACGTCCCACTCGCCGCTTCCTTTTCGGGTTCCACTCGAGCAATGGCCTGACGCGCGCGCGATGTCACCCAGCGGCGGCCTCAGCGAGTGTCCATATCCACTTTCTCCTGAATATTTGTTGGTTGGTGATTGCTTCTATTTGTTCTATTTGTTCCCATAGTTTCTTGTTGGTGATTGTTTCCGGTCCGGCCATCTGATCTTTAGTATAGGGCGAAGACAGTTAGTTTCTGATAAAGGTCTGTAACAGGCTGTTGGAAATATCTTTTGTGACCCGCCCGCCAAGTTTCTGTCTGATCCGTATAGAAGAACTGACTTGACGTTCGTATTGAAAATCCGAATTTTGTTGTTGATGATGAGTGACAAAGATTTCCAGATTGGTTTCAGGTTTGTTGATGAATGTGTTTCTCGCTCGATTTGACATCCTCGTCCGTTCCGACTGCGTGTAGTTGAGACAATGCTCCCTAGATAAGTGAATGAATGAAGTAACTCCTTTCAAATCCCTCCCATTGATGGTGATTGGCACTGGATGTTGCTGTTATTGTTGTTGGTTGGTTGGTTATTTTCATAACCTCTGTATTGTCTATGTTCACCCGGAGTCTTGTCTTCGCCGTCTGCTTCTTCGACCAGTTTGTCGGTTTTTGCTTGTAAGTCTTCGATTTAGATTACGACCATCTAAATATTGATTATATCCATACAACTTGTTAACTATGCAATGATGAGGTTAAAAGTAAAAACTCAACTGAATTCATCACTCAATGGGTATTTTTCATTGATGTCTGAAATTTTCTTTTTCTCCTGGTCTCTACGCTTTCTGTAACACTTTCATTTATCTCATTTGGTGTTCCATTTTAGGTTTTTTTTAATATCCGTAGTACTTTCTCACGAAATAGTATTCTATTTATTTCATTTGTTGTTTGTTGTTCTTTCTCTCTTTATGTTATTTCAGTCGACAAACTGTAACCAGTACTCCGTGTTGGATTGAAATTCATTTGAATGGTCCATTACAATGGCTTGATCGAGTACTGAGTCAAATGGGTTCTCCAGATCATCCTTGCACATCTGTAAGCTAAATTTAACACACTCACACACAGGAAAAATTGTCAATATTTTCACAAATTTATCAATTAGAAGAATTCTTTTCCTAATAGAAAAATTATTTTCCGACGTCTTTCGTGCATTCATTCAACATTATATTTAAATAATAAACTACTAACAGCCATGTACTTAACAAATTCATTGAATTATTCCTCCCCCTCCCCCCTACACACACACACACACCGACCCATCCCACCCCTTCCTTAAAATATGTTTCATTTGAATTCACAGCTGTGTGCTATCCCCCCTATCCTTTTTAGCTTTATGTGTTTAGTGTGGAATTAGACATATAAGCTGTTGCACTTTCATTTATTACATTTATCAGGTGTATGAATGTATTATTCATTTGATGGTCAGTTATTAACTTAACACTACCTTTACCACCGTTCATAATTTTATTATTATTATTACTGTATTACTTTTGACCTATTTTTTATTCTCCCATCGTTAAACAAAGTAGTCAAAGCGTGCGTAGTGACCATTTTATTTATTCTACCCTTTCATCATATAGTTTATCATTCCATATTATGATTACCATTACTATTATTATTACTACTGTTGTTGTTGGTTGTAGACGCATATATTTTCACTGCTTACCTACATTGCGTACATTGCCTTACTTTTTTTTGATACTTGTATAACTTATTATTTAACTTTTTTTCTTCTGTTTTTACATTATGTATTATTGTCTTAGTGTTGTTTTTTTTGTTGTTGAAAAAATGTCCTATTGTCACTTATTCATTCCCCTCCTCCTTCTCCTATTTCCTCTTATCGCGTAATATACTTTCGTCTCAAACGTGAGCTATTCGTTTGACTGGGCAGTTTAAAATAACTTCAGGTCGATATATACATATATATCCTACTTTAAATTAATTCTGATTTTATTAATGAAAACTCATTTTATTTCCTTGTTTGCTTATCAAGCGCGTGCTGTATAACTACTTTCTTCATTATTATCAGTTGTATATTCTATGGTTAACACACACACACACACACATTCACCTTTTATTGAACGCCTATTCTCTCTTCTTGTGTGTGTGTGTATGTATGGATGATATTCTATTGTAATTACATAACTTTCAGTGTTCGCGCCACTACTGTTACGATTTGTATATTTCTCTATCATATAATAATAATTAGTAGTAGTATTAATTTACATTCAACTAAAAGTTCACTTTCTTGCACATTATATTCTGTATGTTTTCGCTTCAGGGCGCCTTTTATTAGTATTATCATCATCATCACCATATTATCTATGTTTTGCTGTCAATTGACGTTACTTTCTAAAAAAAATTTTTATCAATATTATTATGATTGTGTCCGTTTGATCTTACCTTCTGTGTGTTGTAGTAACCATTTCATTCATTTTTCACTAGAGATAACAAGCAATATAGTAGAGACACATAATTAGAAGAGGTGACAGCTGCTAACCCCGGTTACGTGTTTTGATTCACTCTTTATACATTATGGGTTTGCAATTTATTTTACACATGTACAAAATATATACACATACACATATATTGAGATTGTTGTTTTTAAGCATTTAGAAATTCAATCAAACTACTACCATGACTACTTTGAACACTTTTCTTGTTTTTGTTTCCTGTGTAGTTAGTTAGTTATAACGCATATAAATAGATGATAATAGTTCATTTTGTTGTTGTTGGTGGTGTTATTGTGGTGTAGTGGCGATGGTGTGATGCGGTGTCAGTTATGTGTAGCTTTCTCATATCATTTAACCAGTTTGTTCACTTCGTCATCATGGCATTATTATTATTATTATTAAAATTACTAATGTCAGTGATTTGTCGGTTAAATGAATTGTTGTCAATGCCTACTTATTGCACCTTTTCATTACATTAGATACATATAAATTTCACTTGATCTCTCACTCACTCTCTCTCTCTCTTATTTCACTTTCCGGTTTATGTCTCTCAGGCAACCTTTTTTGGTGTGTAATAATCATTGTGAAGCGCATATATACACATACATTACTGCCTGGAATTTTTTTCCAGCTGATATGTTTCACTGACTTCTTACTTTTTGGTATTCACCATTTATTATACATATATATATATATATATATATTTGAATTTTCCTACATTGTTATGTCCTTATTCCGTTGACAAAAGCATAGTTTCTCTCTTTTCTTTTCTTTCCTTTGTTCTTGTGAAAACTATTCATTTTTTTAAATTGATTAATGTTAATAATTTAATTGGTGAAAATGGGAGATTGTTTCTAAATCGTGTACCTGATTATATTATTACTTCCCTTTTACCTAGAGATTACAAGTAATTTATGAATAAAAAAATATACCATATATATATACATCTACATGCATATGAGTATTTCTCATCTCTTCCTATACACCGTGTAGACGGTCCGTTATACTGTTTTTAAGAATTGCATCTTGGAGAATAAGTATACGCGTTAATAATATTCCTTATTCATTTGTTTGTTGTTTAATTAGGTGATTTTATGATAACCGATGCCTTTGCTCCCTTACTTACTGAAGACCAGATAGCCAGAAAAGACTAACAGCAACAAGCAACGAACCAACTAAGAATTTACCGCGCAACAAATATACCGAAGGAAATGGAGATAGATTGGACATGCACTGAGAAGATTATTAGGTGACATCACACGTTAAGCAGGTCTTTGAATGGGAAACGCCGAGTTGGTGGCGTTGGTCCAAGGTGGTGGCATAGAGGAGATGAGAGCTGATGGGTAACCATTGAGTTAGCTAAAAAGGATTGCAGAGATTGCAGGATGAAATGAAGATGTTCTATTGGAAGGCCTTTATTACTGCACGCGGAACACAAAAGAACACGCAAGAGGTGTACTGCATAAGAAATTGTTAGTTTTAACTCTTACCACTCACATTTTGTCTCCGTTTTGTTAGTTTATGCATCCTAAAAGGTCAAGGTTATTATAAAGTATATAAAATTTATATGCACTTATTTTCTACTGGACTATTATTCTGTATATATATGTAGAGTCACATTTAATTTTCACACTTTAATTTCAATCAGTCTCACATTATTCATGTCCCTCCCATTGCATATAGATTCACCTTGACCTAGAATTTTTTCAATAGTCTAGAGTTGTGATTAATAGAAGCTATGTATGATGTCATTTGGTGTGTTTATAATAGTCGATTATATGCGTGTGTGTGTGTGTAGGTATGTTAGCGCCTGTGTATATACGTTAAATGGATTAGATGTAAGACTGAATGACCTTAAGCTCATTCATTGTATTTAATTAGATGTTTGTGTAATCCGAGTATATGATAAGGTCAGAATTATGGGTTTGCACATGTAGATTGGATACGTATACATGGTAAACATGGTTTCTAAACTGGACCAGCACAGTTACACATATATCATGTGTTCACGTCTGATTATGCATAAATATTTTTTACCCATATTTATGAACTAGATACTAATAAATTAATCGGTTCTAGTTTTCAGTATGTTAATGTAATTATAGATTAGAAAACTGATAGCTAATCACTAAATTTTATCCTTGTAACAGCATTATTTAACGTCAGCTTAATTATTAATTCAAAGTAAGAATTGATACGCTATTGGGTTCTGTTCCAGTGGCTGATAAGCGGGCTCGCCTTGTAAACTGAAGGTTTTGTGTTTGGTTTCTGGCGAGGTCATGGGCGTGTGCGAATGAAGAGTCCCAAACTGGGACGAAACACTTGCCCAGTATTTCCTGATTTCAGGGGTTCTTCAGTAGAATTCAGTTCTTGATCAAACTTGGAACCAATCAAATTCCTGCAAACCAACACTTGAAAATTAGCTAGTGCTCACTATTGACTGACTTCAGGATGAAGTTGTCTGTAGTTTTAATAGGAAGTCGTGACCATTTGGGTGTGAGGACAATTACACGCTGATGGCACTGACTGGAGGTTACGCGAACTATTTATACGAATAAGCAGAAGTTAGATTTAATGTGCCATTGTATTCCGACTTAATGGTTGAATGATCTATGAGCTCACCTTTTAACCTGAAGGTACTGGGTCCTATTCTTGGTGGTTCATGGGTGTATGAAGATCGACTGCATAATTCTCCTTGATCTTTAAACAAAGCACCAACCGGTGAAGTATGTATAAACTGTTTAGTTTAGTATTTTGAAGTGTTGATATCCTCTTTGAGGTTTTTTGCAAGATTGTAATCAATGTTATCTATGAATTTATTCACCATAATAAGACTACCACTTCGTAAATATCTAACTGTATAACAAATATTCTCACTGTTTCTTAGGGTCTTGGAATGTGGGGATTGAGGTACTATAGAAGTCAAAATTTCGGTCGTAGTGTACCAGTTGAGTGATAGTTAAGCGTACCTCTGAATTCATCAGTTTCAATAAATAAGTCTTTATAGTCTGTAGCAATAAATATCGATTGGTAATCGTATCTAGACAGCACTCTGAAATCAATTCGGAAATCTTCGAAACTGAGCATAAAGAACAACATTCAGATTTTTAATACCAATGTTAAGTCAGTCGGTTTTTCTACTTTTTTTCCTTCACGTCTCCAGTGGAACATAGGGCCTCAAGCTAGTGGCTTGAAGTTTCTGTAGCAGTGTTTATTTTACACGATGGGTTTGCTAGCCTCACGCCAACCTTTCCTCTTTACCAGGATTATTTCTGGCTTAGCGAGGTAAAGGAGTGCGTCAGTGGCCGGGAATCGAACCCCGGACCATGTTCATGATCGGCGAGCGTCCAAATCGCTGTGCTACAGAAACTTGGCGCGTCACCAAACGGATTTCTAATAGACTGTACATATTTATCAGCAGCTGCCTTCATTCGGCACTGAAAATCAAATGGCCAAAAAGAATTCGTGAGAAGAAACTCTGAGAATGAAGCACTCAAGAACCTAGTGCTCAGCAGATATGTAGTGGAAAATGGTGCTTGATCGGATACACTCCGAGGAGACCGTCGGTTAACATCGCACGCCAACCCCTCGAGTACAGTTGGAATGGGGAACGATGAGTTGGTCGTTGGTCCAATTTTGACATAGAGGAGATCGTGTGTGTGTAAAGGAGATGATGTTTCATACTATTGTTTGCGGTCTATTGCAGCAGAAAGGCCTCCTTTTTTTGTATCCTGGTGGCGCTCATTGAAATCAGTGTATTCCAGAGGTATTTTTTACCACCAATCGTACCGGTTCAAGAAGTAGTATTTTTTAAATTTCTTGTGACTATAACACAGTAAACGTAATACAGCTCACAGATGAAGTGTTCAGTCAATACTCATGATTTAAGTCTTTTAGATTGAAATGTGACTCCAACCGTATATATAGCTTAGGTTTTTCATCTTTTTGCCTATGGTCGTTAACTGTTATTTTCTTCTTTCTAATTTAAGCTAACGAATCAGGATTTCATCAGGCTAAGATTGGAATCTTGGCGTTATGAAGGATTTCACCTTATATTCCGTTAATTAATTTCATACAACTCATAGGATTTATAACTGAATGAAGTTCGAAGCAATATTTATTGCTCATTATCATGCAAGTGTATTTACCCAACTTCTTAAGTTGCTGAACATACTCATGCTTTATTCTGTTTCTAAACAACTGTGTATTGTTTAATTTTTTTCTATTCCTATGTACCTGACTCAAATTTTTTTCAGTTATACGATTTTCACCTCACTGGTGAGTTGATGCTCAATTTCACTTCAATACAGATAGTTGTGATGTGTAGTTAACCATCATGGGGAACACATGGATCAAATCTTAGCACACATACACGTCTGCAGTTTTATAAGTTAGTATTTATTTTGTGAGTCTCTTTTTCAATGAAGTACGCTGCTTGGTATGATCGAGGGAGATCAATGTTCCCTCCATAGTATTATTCATTTACAGATGCTGCATTTTTTTAAATTTAATGTACAACCAGAGTGGAATTTCTATCCTAACCAAATTCGTGTGTCATTCATACACAACTGCAAATATTGACTTGTCAAATGGGTCTTTTCTGATAGTCAATATACCTATTCAATTTGAAAATAAAATTTATGCGTGTCTTCATTGATTCATACGAAGCGGAAATCTAAAGTAGTACTCATCACCTGTTTGAATGAATTTTTTTAATTTGAAACTAGATTGTAACTTTAGTTTTTAGGAACTATCTTAATTCCTTAATGAAGAGATAACAGTATCGGTTGTGAGTGTTGTTTCACAGTATGCAGAAAGTAATCATCAGTTCTCTGAATTTGCTTTATATACACCAAGTACTGATGTGTATGATATAAGTGAAAGGAAAGAAACTAATCGTCTAACGCAATTTCTCTATTGATGTTCACTTACAAACAGAAATATATGAACTAACTAACCAATGGGAAACTGCGTACAGATTATGCAGTAATAATATAGTGTTTTGATGTAGTCGTGTTTTCTGAGCTGGATTGTTTATTTGCGAAGCTTTCATTGCCCTACTAGGCAACATCTTCAGCGCATACTTCAGTTTGAACTTTTAAATTTCTCTACGAGTTTACAAGTCATCTCTCCTGGTGACCTTGAAGGTGGTTGGTTGTTTTTGTATGTTTTCACACCCTCCAGATTATTTGTATTGGTGTTGATTGTCTCGTTGACCCTTTGTGTGTGCGATTTCCTGCTGATAGATTGGTCAATTTTGTCTATGTTGATTTATCTATTCATTGACTATTCACTGGAATACCAGGCTTCTAAAAATTCCCTGGCGTTCTCGGTGTTTCTTATGTCCAATATATGAGCGTTGTCCCAGTCGAATTGATGTCCGTGGTTGTCTGTATGTAGTGATATGAGGGAGTGGTTGTCATGTCTTTTGACGGCTAGTTTATGATCATGGATACGAATATGAAGGGGACGTCCACTTTGGCCAATGTAGTGTCTTTCGCAGTTGTTACAATTTATTTTGTAGATGATGTTGGTTTTACCTTCTTTCGTTGTTGAGTCTTTTGGTTGACATAGAATTGAGTGAAGTGACTTTGTTGGTTTTTATGTGATATTAATTCCTAAGGGTTTGAAGGGTCTTGCAGTGATTTTTGAGGTGTTTTTTATATATGGTAGGGCGATTTTCTTTGTGCTTCCCTTGGAGGCCTTTGATTTCGTAGATGGCTTGTGGGTAGATGTCTTTTGATAAAGTTCCGTGGATATTCATTCTTTTGGAAGACGTCCATGAGATACTTTTCTTCAGTTTTCCTTAAGGTGGGAGTGCTGCAATGGGTCCTTGCTCTTTTGAATAGTGTTTGTATACAACTCCTTTTGTGTATTATTGGGTTGTTGCTGTTTTAATTGAGTATTTGGAGTATTGTGAGAAGGAAATCTCAAACACAAAGGGTAAAACTTTAGGTCAATGAGACAATCCACACCAATACAAATAACCTGGAGAGTGTGAAAACATACAAAAACAACCAACCATCTTCAAGGTCACCAGGAGAGATGACTTATAAA